ATGCCTACGTGAGGATTGTGAACGTTCAACCAATAAAACGATAAGAGTCACTGGATTTTTAGGAGTCCACATTTTATTGTGACACTGGAAAAGTGTTTAAGACCAGCTTGCCATGTCTTTCTCATCCATTTAAGACCGGCCACGTGACGGGCTCTCGACCAATAGGAATAGCTAAACTGTCTGAGGTATTTATGAAAATGGATTAAAACACCAGAACCATTAGCATTACAACAAATTCATTAAAAATACGTACAATAAAACGTGTTACAAATCAAAAGCATTTTGGAAAAGATGCGTTTTCAGCAGGGTCTTAAAACGACTTGAGCTTGTGGCACTATTCCAAACGAAAAAACTGCATGATGAGCAAAGATCCTTTGCCTTTAAGGCACAAACCTTATTCAAGCCAAGTTGAGGGATTTGGGGCAAGACTTTTGAAACGAGTGTTTTGAACCGAGTGTGTCCAAACTCGCTTTACTTGTTAACATTGGGGTATTTGATTCATTTGCAGGTATTGAAAAATTTATTGCCTCTGCCTTGACTTGAAAGCTAACTTGGGATCCAAGTGATTGATGGATTCATTGTAATGCAATAACCCTTGTCATTTTTGTGGGTTTGGGGCTGGCCTTATCACCAGTTGCTTCATGTTCTGTAGCCAACATTTGACACCAAACATGTGAACGTGCCCAAATTTACCGCCGATGCATTTCGCGTGCGGTTTCCCGTGACCCACTTTACTCTGGCGCCGAAAATGATTGGTCTAGGGACAAAAATATCCGGCTAGTCAATTGATTAAATGCTTGATTGTTCCTGTTGCCGTTTATTTGTATAAATATCACTTTGTCAGTAGGACATTAGTGCTGTGATGGATGTACCTGCCCTGAAGGTGGATCACGCCTCATCTGGATATATCATTCGCTATTTCGGCGAAATATGGGGTAAAAAATAGACATGAGAAATGTCAAACTGGGGTTTTGCTATCAAGTTTAACAGACCTGCTTTCCAGCTATAAAAGTACAAGTCGCAAATTTGGGATATCAAGATGTTCCTTGTATTTAAAAAAAAATGAACATTTGTACTATTTCTTGTTTATAGTTTCCCCAACCATATTAAGTGTACCAGTCTGGAACGTTATAGCTCACCTTTGTCATAACAAACATCTGGTACAAACTGGGCTGATAAAACTAGTTTAATGCTAACACTCTTATATTTTTATGGGAACAGATAAATGAACATTTCAGGGCAGATATTTGTAAAGTACTTTGAAACCTTTGGTTTTAAAAACGCTATATAAACTCCACATTATTATGAAATTGAACAGAGTTTAGGAATTTTAATTTTGAAATTATTTTTCAATTATATGTTAGCTTACACAAAAGTATAAATATATTTACAAAAATTTTTTTAAAGACTGCAAATTCCAGACAGTTTCATCCATTACCAGCATAATGCACCCACGATTCCTGTTGACATTTGTCAAGATTTAATATCGAATCGAAATTAATCACAAATTTCTATAGTGGCTTTTTTTTCCTTTTGCAGTTGTTTCCAACAAATTGTGTTCATAACCAGTCATAGCCAATTAAAGTTGAGCATTTCAAATAAAAATTCCAGGAAAGATATGTGGGTAAATATGTAATTATTAACACAGGGATTCAGGGAATATGCAACATTTGCTTTTGTTGTAATTTTCAGAAATTGATGGATTCGAGGGTTAGTATTTGATAGCAAATATTGTTACACTGACTTGTTTGAAGTCTTTTGTTCGTATATGCTGGAAAAACCAAGAAAAACAATCGTGTTCTTGTAGTCTGGTTCCCTGACCCCACTTAAGATGAAATGGAGCAAGTCAGATTGGGGAACCAGTCTAGCTGGCTTGTACTCGTACCCGTTCATAGGTGTGTAATCGAATACAAACAAAGTGCAGACTGACTAAATATGGTAAATTGGGGGCAGTGTTTGAAAAAAAAAGTCAGTTTTCTTCCAATGCTGGCCGGCCGACCAGTGTTTGAAATTGATACAAAAGTACCACTTTTCTTGCAAATGTCAGCACACCAGGTGCCATGATTTTACAGGATGCTTTAGACTGCCATTCACTAACAGTCCAGTAAGGTATTTCATAATAATTTGGTATTTTTGATTTTTGAACTTGCAAATGTTGTATATACCCTTTAACAAACTAAAAAAAATATACAAAATGCAATGTTCCATAAAGTTGGTTTTTATATTATTGGTTCTTATTCACCGCCTAATGTACATTTATGTAGGAAGCCATGCATATAGCTAACTTTGGCTTCAAACAATAAACATCTGTTCCTGGTCATGGTGTCTGGTTTTTGTTTCTCCGAAAAACCGCTTGGTTAGTTTGGTGATAAAATAACCTTGGTTAAATGCCACAGAATTTACACGCATCTCATTTGCACATGTTGGCAATTACCCACAAATGATGTTCAATTTAGACATTAACATTTGTTTTAGCCATCCAAGGATCTGTTTAATCATTCGTGTTATGGAATGTGTATGTTTTGGTCTTTCTTTCCGTACCAAATTCCTTCACTTCACCACAGTGCTTAATATAAATTCATCTGTATCATTTCTAACTGTAGACATTTATTCCCTCTACTAATTTCTCAAGCGCAAACTAAAAAAGTGAGGCCAAAGGACAGGGAAAAGGTACATAAAAAGAGTTCCCTTAGAACTAGCTGTCTGCATATTAACTTCTCTGTTTTTATCGTTTAAAAAATAGCCAAGCATGCTGTGAAATACCAGTAATGTCAAAACCCTTGCGCATGGCGTCCTTTGACCTTTTTTTGCAAAAGCTGCATGGTTTCATAAAATTCAAAACAAATTTTATTTTTTTATTATTTAATCTGTAAATATAGTCAATTTTGATTTATATATGTATTTATTTTTAGAACTCCCTTTCCAATTATATCAACCCCCAAAATTCCAGTTTCATGTTATTGACCGATTTAAATAAGTCATGTGATCTGTGCTACTCGAGTGATTCGGGCCCATTTGGGGGGGGGGGGTTGGGGGGGGGGAGTAGACTGGGGTATGAGCCACTTCGTAACTTGGCCGTTTTCATAATGGTTCCTCCAGATATGATACAAAAAATAAGAACATGGGGTTATATGTGTATTAAGCATCATTCTGAGTAAAACGATTGGTGGGATTAATATCCGGCTTTTATTAAATTTGGTTTGAAAACTATTCGGTTTGGAGTTTGAAAACCAGATTTTCAAAACCAATCTTGAAAAAAAAATTAAGCCTTCCATTTGTTTGTGACACGGGCTAAATAAAACAACCGAAACATCTCCCAATTTGCTCCGTGGTCTCTTATTGTGACTGCAATTTCACTCTATAGTGGTCTCCTTAGTTCATGAATAGCCTGATCAGAAAGTTCCCACCATTACAGCTCTCGAGCTCATTGCATGCGGCATCTCACTCGTCAGTTGTTTGACGTGTCTGTGAGCGGAAAGGAAACTTCCGGTGCAGTCGGATAGGATAACTGGATTTTAGATAACCGGATTTTGAAATCTCTGATTTCTCCCACCACTCATAAAAAAATGCATCCCATGGATTTGTTATAGGTGGTTTTGTTTTTTGTTTAAATGACCTAACCCTAATGATCTAACCCTACTGATGGCCCATCTAACCCTACTGATCTTCACTCTTACCTCTACTAACTCCTAGTTGCAATGCCCCACTGTAGCAGTGGACAAGTAGATATAAAAAGAACTAACATTTGTATGTTTAAACTTGTGATTTTTAATCACATTGACAATCTTCACACAGTGGCGTCATAAATGGGTCATTCCCTACACGTCCCTCTGACATCTGACATCTTTGACTTTATGATTCTGATGCACTTCTTAACGCAGTTGCCCTGCAAGAGTGATTATGAATAGCAAACTACCTACCCAACAGATAAGAAATCATTTGAAGTCTTTCCTAATGATACTTGAATGGCAAATTACAAAGAAACAAGGTAACAGGGACAGGAAAAATGGCACACTTTGGACCTTAAATTTATATAATGACCCAAATCTCTTGAATTAGGCAGGGGCTTCCCAGGATTCACAGCTGCATGAGAGTCCATATTGGACGCCTTGTTGATCTCAATGGTTAGTTGTAGAGATTTGGGGTTAACAGCGAAAACACAAATTATGAGAATTAAGGTATGCTAGAGAACTTTTTTTAGGGGGCTGAGTTCCTGGAGTGAGAACAATGAAAGTTCTGAAGAGTCTTCTGAAAGATTAAATGTTTGTTACGAGTCTTTGCCTCTCGTGAAGAAATCTGAATTAATTGCTGTTTTAGTTGGAAATGCACTTGTTTCATGTTTTTTCTTTTCCTTGTTATTTATTTGGGACGAGCTGACCAGGGGTTATTAACCTTTGTAAGGATTTGTATTGATGAAATTGTCCCTTCATTTTACAATAAGTATTGTGTTTAGAGCTAAGGGCCTTTTCCAAAGTTTCGGCTTCGTCTTTTTTTGGTCCCTGACATCGGGAACTCCATAATTGTTGGTGCATGTCCTGCTTCAGGAGCATTCAGTTGTATGAAATGAGGCCAAAGCTTCAAACAATTCCATTTGGTTTTTCCCAGTGATTCAGAAGTCGGACATATAGCCGAAGATGAAGCAAAGGTTTAAAAAAAAAAACCATAGTTCCAATTCATTTATCTGCCACCTCACTATCAAGCATTGCTAACTTTGGTCAAGAGTTGGGCTCATAATTTCCATCCATTCCTATCAAGGCTAGTTCATTTACTTGGCACGAAAGTGAACGCTAAAACAAATTTTTGATGTCACAGCTAGTATTCAATTTGTGAAGTCGCACAAATTGAGCACAGTATCAAAACCAGCTAATTTCTCGACAAATATTTTGTGACGTCATGTTCACTTTATTTTCCCATTTGCCAGTGAAGTATGAAAATTGCCTTTACACAGCTTCTGGACTGACTAATCTTAATGTTTGACTTATTTGTATCCATCCATGCAGGCACAGCCAAGAGCAAGCCCAAGCCGTTATCGGGATCCCCGTCCCACAACACCCCCAAGACCCGATGGGCCCGGCCACGCAAGACAGTCACCGGCTCGCCCGAAGTAGAAGAAGCCAAAGATGCCATGTCACCCTCGGCTTTCGGGACCCCTCCGATTGCCTCCCAAGAATCCTTCCCCATCCAGCTAGATTTCGACAGCAGCAGCAGTGGCAACGTAGCTGCAGCTGCCGACAGCGACGATGATGACAACACCTATCAACCAATGAGTGAGCTCGATACAGATCAGTCCACACTTCCTCCAACCCTCTCCAAATCTAAGGCCCCACCCCTGACTCTCATTCCCAGCTCGGATTCAGCTGGGGGAAATGTCGAGTCGCCCAAGCTCCTTCCTCCGGCGTCAGAAGAACGCGTCCGTAGCTTCAGCAGTACCTCCTCGGATTCCGCCAAAACCTCAGGTCCCACTTCCCTGCCTCTGGTCTCTCCGTTTGCAGTCAAGAGCCCTGCGACGATTGACGTGAACCCAATCTCAGCCTCAGCGGATACATCAGAAACCACGCCTATAGAGAGTGCCCAGGCTTCCCTGTCTAGGCTCAGCCAGAGCTGGAAGGACTTAGAACCAGACCAGATGGAGCTCAAGCAAATCCGGCAAGGGTCTCAGGAATCTGACGATGGCCAAATCGAACCTGATCTCTTGGACCTCGGCAAGACAGAAGGAGAAACACAGATGGCTCCAGCAGATGTTGAAGACAAAGACTCATCATCATCGGCCTCAGAGACTTCCAGGCAGGGACCAGACTGGGTGAGCATAAGTGATAGAGACAGTCTGTTGGACACCAGACTAAGCATGAATGAGGACCCCAAGGGGTCATTGTCTGACCCCCATCAGGTACCTCAAGGTGTACCGTCCCTGGACGAGTCGTTACAAAACATGGTGCAGGCCCAGATGCACAGCTTAGCAACCAGTGACGACAGTTCACCCTCTCCACCAGGGGAAATTGTCTAGACTCCATCCAGCAGCAGGAGGAACACTCTTGATATCAGTCAACAGTAGATGGAAGAAATCATCTAAACGCAATCCAACACAAGACTCCATCCAGCAGCAGGAGAAATCCTATGGATATCAGCCAGTAGTAGAAGACACCGTTTTGTAATCCCACGAACTTGAGTGGAACATTGAATAATGTAGTGTGTCTGTATCCTACTTGCCAGGAGGCCGATGGCTGAGTGCTATGGGGGACACAGACGCACTGCGTTATTCGGTGTTCCATGAGTGTGAGTGGGATAATGAATTTATCTTCAAGCAAACTTGACGCACAGTAAAGATGGAACACGCAAGCTGTATGTGAACTTTTCGGAGGTTACCCTATTATCCTTGCGTGCATCACTAATGGCGGGCGCATCTTAGAATAGTGCGATACGTGGAGTGCGGTATATGAGATAATGTAGCCGAGTTTGTTGCCGTGGATCGACAAATCGGGAATCAAAGATTCAAGTTTGCTTGAAGAAAATCTTCTAGACCCTATCCTTCACCCTCCATCTCCACCACCAATGAATTATCCAAACCCCATCCAGCAGCAGGAGAATTCATCTACATGTATATGCCATCTGCCTGCATTACAAAGTCAACCTATTGTTTACATGTACCGGTACCACATTGTCCACATGTGCATTGCTTTTTTGGGGGAAAAAGGTTTTGGACCACTTAATGAGTTTGCAACCTACATGTGTTGTGAGTCAAGTTGACATTGTGTGAATACCGGTAGATCAGTGTCCAGCACATGTATTCTGTGATTGTAACAGAGTTTCGTAGTCTGGCAATTTGATGTCATACTGGTCATGTCATTGTAGACATGTATCGGTTCCTAGCTCTTTACTGTGAGGTATTTTGAGGTTAATGAACTCAACATTGGAAAAATGTTTACACCTTGGTTTAATAACTAGCCTCGTTTTTCCATGCAAAAAAAAAGATTCTTGCAGTGTCACTTTTGATTACTTTTGTTTTTTTACTGTAGTCAAGAGGCCTTTTCAAATGTCCGACATTTCTGTGTTGTACCTGGTTAGCCCAAAGAGTTGGGAAGCCTCTATCACTAGCAAGAAACAGACACAGCCTCTGGTTTGCTGCTCTACACGGGTAAAATTTAGCCCTTCAAAATACATCTCACAGACCCATACGCTTTTTAAACTAAGCTCTCTTGTACAATCCGGCTTTAAAAAAAAAGCGTTGTCTGAATTTACTTTAGGAAGCATGAGAATGGACTCTGGAGGTTTTTTCTTTCTTTTTTTGTTATAGTCGCATGTTAGGATGAAATTATAGCAGATTTTATCCTTTCGTGTATAATGAGAATATGCAAACTGTGCCAAATCATTCATTTTTGCATCCAAAATATAAAATCTTCAAATATAAAGTATCAAGTATTTTTGTCAGTGAAATTTGCAAAATATAGTGGGATATTAAGCGAGGTACTTTTTAAAATATGTCTTGGACTGAATTCAGTCTGAGTTTAAAGTTTGTTGATTTTCATCAAGATTCGTTTATTTTCTGAAAGATGAATTTGTGCTTTAAGTGAAATGTGTTTTGTTTTGAAATTCAAAGCTGCAATTGTTTTTGAAGAATTTTTTGTTTTGGATGAATACAAATTTATTGCCAAAAATCAAACATTCTAAGTGTCTTAGAGCAGATTTCGTCAAGCGGTCAGATAATTTTGTTAATGTAGACTAGAAAAGTAGATTACCTCCATTACACAAGCACACCCAAGGTGACGAACTTACCAAAAAAATAAGTGTGAAGTTTTTGTTCCCCAGTACCAATCAGTGAAATGCCTAAAATGTCAAAAAAACTCCTGATTTGCCATAGTTAGTTGTCAGATGGAACACATATGTTTTGCTTAGACTTTTTATTGCTGTTAATCTTTTCCCCTGTTAGTTTTATGCAATACATAGTCTTGTTGGGGATATTTTTACTATAGAGCTATCCGAGAAAGATCAGAAATTATTGCTTACTCTGTTGCAGCAGACTTAAAAATATATCCTATTTATTTCCTATATAACAAAGTATAAAGCCAATATCTATATCATATTTTTTGTGAAGAGTGGTTATATTTGAATAGTCTAGATATATGGTCTACTGATGACTGTTTGTCCGTATGTCTGTCTTATTGGCTGTCTGTCAAAGTTGTTAAAGAGGCCATCCGCAAGTTAGTAACAAGTGGTATCACTGTTAACAGAGCATGAACTTTGCCAAGGTAGCCCCTTTAATTGCCACAGCTCATATCAATAAACGTAACTGACTCAAAGGTTACACAATTTCTTGTGATTGACTTGTGAGGACTTAGTGACACTGTACCGGTAAGTGTTGACTTTTGAACACATTATAAACGCCTTTTTGGCAGCAATTTATAAGCATTGCAACGCGTTTAAGGAGCTCAATATTTGAGTCGGATTCATTATGCAGGTGTCCATGTACCAAAAACAAAGCCTCGAACAGCCACTTGAAGTTTTGCAGCTGCTTGTTACTGAAATTTGACTTTTCAGAACATTAAATAACGAACATTCCGATTACATTGTAAACGCCTCGTGTTTATAAACTGTTGCGAAAACGTTTATAAGTTAAATACATTAATTAAGCTTTACATACAGTGCACACTATTCTTCTGTCAGTTGTGCGGTTTGATCGTCAATTTCCACAACTTCCGTTGGTCCGTCGGTCGATTGGTCTGTTGCCTCATTGCTTTGCATAAATCATCCAGTTTTCAGAGGCTGAAGTGTTTTACTTACTTGTTAAATTTTATTTTTTTCATATCATGCACTCTTTAAGTGTCATGAACTTTGCAAATATAGCAAAATATCTCAGTATTTAAAGTAAATGTAGGAATTTTGACCCAGAAACCGGAAGTGCGGCTTGCGATAATTAACGCCAAAGGAAACCAATTACACTGGGAACCAATTTAGCTCGAAAACCCCAAGTTTTACTGTCACGCGGTTGGATGCACTTGGAAGTTCACCGGCCGGTCGGGGTCAATCGCAGGTCACACATCAAAGACAAACACAACTTGTATGGCAAAAAAATACCACAATTATTTCGCCAACATCTACATCTTCTTGGAATTTGGCTATTACTAGAGGGGTGGGGGTTTTGTGCCTTTCATAAAAGAGATGAAAGGAGTGACAATTGGTTTCATCCACTTTATAATTACTCCTCATTCAATCACAGACCACAAGGGAATTGTATTGGGACGGTCACGCAGTGATCCATGCCTTGACACAGATATTGACAACAAGCCAGTGAACCGCTTTTATAAAGAGTCAGCGGTCTTCTTTGTTGGAACTTTTGGTGGCCATCTGCACTTGCTGTGAACTCGTCCCGCACCTGTGCGGTATTTAACAGGGAGGGGTTTTCATCCCACTGTTTGATAATTTTAAAGAATTTTTTTTGAACAAGTTGAATGTGCCAGCAAACCTAACCCTCCACAATCCTCCAAAATTCTCATGGCGGTTTTGGAGGATTGAGGAGATTTTAGGATGAATGGTGTTTGAGAAACGTGAGGATTTTGTAGGATTGAGGCGCTGGGTATCCTTCATTTGAACATAAGTGCAAAATTCTGGAGGATTAGGGATGATTCCTCGCAAAAAGGGTTCTGGGGGGTAGTTTTAAAAAAAAATGACTGCCTGTTAATTTACAATATGCCAAGTTTTTGAAAGTCGACACGTCAAAGACTTTCCTCGGAAATGACGTGTTGCAAATGCGAGTGAATGGTTGTAGTGGGTACAGCCTGTAACGCCAGGCACGTGATCAGTGTACACTTACGAGGCCCCCTTCAATGGAGAAACCATTGTGCATGCTATTGTACAAAGCAACTGCCTTGTGATGGATTATTTGAACAATAGCTGGCACAATGCTTTCGCCATTGAAGGGGGCCTTCATGATACAACGTGCCCGAATTGGTTATACTTAATGCTGGTCGAGGGCTTGCGAGAAAAAAAATCACAAGCTTGGGACTTGAATCCACGACCTGCTGCTTACTAGTGCAGACGACTGTCACCACTCCTGTGGTTGTTGGTTTGAGTCCCACCCGTGCAAGTTTGTGATTTTAATCTCACAAACTCTCAGACATAAAATAATAGATGTGAGTTACGTTGGTGAATGGCAAACCCAATAAATTTATATTTTCCTGATTTAGAAGTCTATCAAAAGACGATGTCGGCGATATTCTGTTTTGAAAAAGATATTAATGTCCATAGTGGCAGAAGAGAGCGCAAGAAATAGCCAACTTTAGCGGTCACACTTGTCAAAACTCTTAAATCGAAATGAAATTATGTTTAATATTAATGTTCTCGCTTCTTCTTCACATTTAACATGAGGAGTTGGAAGAATTAATGAAGGACGCTCAAACCGAATTCTTTGTTTTGCCGCGTTAATAGTTGTGCTTAATAATTAAAGTCATACACAATGCTTTATATAAAGAGTATTATATTTAACAATTATAAATGTGGTAGAGAAACTATTAATGTACAGTATGATTTGTTGACAATTGACATGTCTGCCAGCGTTTGAAATAATTGTGTGACTGTCACAGAAGTTGTATATAATGATAAAATACGCTATCAGTAATGATATAATAGTGTATTTGAAAGATGACTTGAATAAAGATGAGAAATTGAATGAAATGACCATCTTGTTTATATTTTGTAAGTCATTTAAAGGTTTGGTGGGGGAACTTATAATCAATGCTTAGTGCAAATATGGGCCCTTGCCTTTTTTTCTTTTTATATTTTCATATTTTAATAACGCCTTTGAATGAATTATTACTTAATTTTTGTAATGGAACTATTTAATGACAAGGAGATTAATGACTTGTTTGTAATTAACGGCAAATATTAATGATTTTTGGGGGTAGACTCCGTGGTGAACAGGATTTGTAGACAATTTTGAGTCGGGAGTCTTTGTAATCTCCGTGTAACTGCATGATCAGTATGGCAAAATTTCTGTGCGAGTTTGTGGGTAACTTGGCTCAGCTGGGTTTCTAAAGTGTTGCCTTTCAATTCAAATTTGGGAACGTTCCCCCAGCCCTAACAGACAGAAGCATTCTAACTAAGAAAAAGGCGACCAGTAGCATTCAGTTGAAATGTCCAATACCCTAAATAGTGGGATAACGCCAGTGCTACTTAACAAGACGAAAGAATGTTGGGATTCTGCGTTATTGAATTCTTTCCAAAAGGCAGGGCAAATCAGAGTGCGAGAACACACTTTTAAATTGAAACAGTGTAACTTTCGGTAACAGCCAGACCGTTTTACGGATACCCGCCATCTTTGTGATCACGTGGTAATCTTTGAGGTAATTTCATTGAAAGGCGTCCTGCTGAGGATACAATGCATGATGGGACATATTTTTAAAGACTACCACGTGATCACAAAGATGGCGGTATACCGGTAAGCTACCAGTGAAATGGTATGACTTTTTGTATGGAGGAACCGTCAAAGGAAGAGGCAAGTAAAGAATGGCTTTGTATGGAAAAATCGAATCAACAGAGGGAACAGTAGGCCTAACTGAACTCAAACGGAGATAGAACACCCAAAAAGTGAATTGTCCTTCAGCATGGAGAATCTTGGTCCCGCTTTCACATTTTAAGAGGATTCATGGAGTCGATCGAGACACAAAACGACTTCAGCAGTTTCGCAATATCACAACAACGTAACATCATAGGACAATGCATTGACCATATCCAGCTCGCGGTCCTACCTCGATGATTTGAGGTAAGTCCATCTATTTTCACACCTTGATTCCATGACGCACGATTGACCACACAATTCTTCCCGTGGGTAATTGCGGTGACTTTATTGTTGCTGTTCCAACTGTTGATGCGACTACAGTTCCTGGAAGCGCTATGAATGCCAAAAGGGTCGCCCGGGTTTTCAACCGTTTGGCGGTTCACGGATTGTCCGACCATCACGTTTCGCACGTGATACACTCAGGGTGCCTAACGGCGCATGCCGTGCAAATACTTTAAGCCATGATATGAAAAATAAAAATAACTGAAATGAAAGAATAATTGCTTACGTCAGAGAGCGAATGGGCGTGTTCAGTAAAAGCTTCTGCGAATTCGCAACTTGATCATAGGTTTACACGAGTCACAAAAACATTCATGAATGATTTAAGGCATTTAAGAAATGGAAAGCCGAGATTGATTTGTTCTTGCATCTCACGTGACAGATATCGCTTTAGGCCTATACATTTGTACTCTTAAAAGATCTGTGCAGTAAAGAAGGAGAATTGAACACGAAAACGAAATGTCTACATTTGTCTTGAATATGTCGGTGTATGTAATATGTCAAATTATTAAACAAATGTTCTAAATGAAAATAATGACTTGACACACCCACGCGGGCGTGTTCGAAATGACGAGCGGAAATTTTTATTTTATTTTCACTTTCGTCAATGCAACTCATTTTTCTTTGAATTTAACCACTGGTTTGTTGAGTGAAACCAATTTCAATTGTCCATGAATTATTTTAGAGGCGTGAAGTAAAAAAACAATTCCTAGTAAATGGCATTAACTATATATGGAACTGGTAATTGTGCAATTTTACTTTTTCTTTTTTTTGTAACTGCATGGAGTAACCTTTGCAACATTATAATATAAAAAAATATACATTTGTATATTCAAATTCTTATTCGATTTGTATCACTCGGTGCTTAAAGGGAGTATACAACATTTGCTTACATAAAAAAACTACAAAATTATTATAAAATACCTTACTGGACTGTTAGTGAACGACAGTCGAAGGCATCCTGTAAAATAACGGCACCTGGTGTGCTGACATTTTCAAAAAAAGTGGAATTTTGTATTAATTTCCAACGCTGGTCGGCCGACCAGCTTTGGAACAATAACTGGCTTTTTTAAATACTGCTCCAACCCACTTTTTAATATTTAGTTAATCCGCATTTTGTTTGCAATCGATTTGACAACCTATAAATAGGTACAAACCAGCTAGACTGATTCCCTGACCTTACAATTCCCCGACGTCTAAAAATTGCCCCGTTTCATCTTATGTGGGATCAAGGGACCAGACTACGAGAACGTGATTGTTTTTTTTTGGTTTTTCCAGCAAGTACGAACCCAAAACGTCAAATAAGTCAGTGTAACAATATTTGCCATAAAATACTAACTCCCCAAATCCATCCATTTCTGAAAATTAAAGCAAAAGCAAATGTTGTATATTCCCTTTAATAATTACCATCATCATGGTTGTCAAGCACGTATACAAGATCGCCTAAAAACATGCGAAGTTTAACAATGATGACCACAACATGCTTTTTGGTTCAGGGTTTCTTTTTAGGTTTCAGGTTTAGTTTATTTTCCCCTCATTTACGATGGATTTAAGAAATGCAAGTTACATTTTATATCCTTAAGAGCGCTTTCCTTTCAAACATCTGGCCATGATTTCGTCATCTTTCTATCTTTCCGAAGTGTGAAATCGCATGTAATACTTATATTGTCTGAAACTTTTAACAACCCCCTTGACTATTTCAGTAGTCATAAAAGGTGGTATTTTTAAGATTAAAAAAGTTCTGTGCGAATTAGTGGGCTTACAGTGTTTCAGAAAACCTCATGCCTACATTCCTAAGTTGGGTCTCTGTGTGTTTTTTCTATAAAGATGACTGTTTGTTCCGTGTTTGTCTCTCATCGTTGTGGCCAAGTGCCTATTCCTCTGCGCCCTAGAGAGTTTTCTAAATAAATGTGTCAAAATGATAACATCAGATCAAGTGACAAAAATCCCAAAGAATTTCATCATCTTTTTTTTTCTATGAAAAACTATAAATCCAGGATATCCTTTAGGCAAGTCGATATTTCTAATCATCCAGGACCTAAAACTGCCACAAAAAGTGTCCAAATCGCCATATGTTTTGCCTATGTATCATTGTAATGTCAATCGCCAGTCATTTTAATGTCAATCACACTTTAATAATGATGCTTTTCTCGAAACACATTATAGAATGTCAAATCCGGGTTTGCCGCACGTCACACCATATGACAGACCCGCCTAACATTTCACCGAGCGTGAATTTCCAGCTTTCATCTACAAAGTGAAACATAATCGAAGGGGCCTGAACAATCATAACTTTTACAAGTTGATTTATTGTTGAAAGGTAGTGGTGCATAGTACGGTATGGCGTCAAAGAAATTGATTGTTGAAGTCCTTTTTTATGCATTGCGTATGGGATTACTTTTTAATCAACCGTGTCCAGAATACAATAAGTCAAAAATGGGGTAGGTCCTGTATGATGACGTCATTTTTTTTCTATTTAGGACCTAAATATGGGGGAAGATTTAACTGATTTTGGTTTGGCATGGAGACAACGAGGGACAGTCCCTAGGAAATCGGAAGTAAATACCTCAGGTAACTTTGTACCTTTCTTTTTTAGTATTGGGACTGCATACACTGGAAAAACTGGAAGTTTTGTATTTCAGTTCAAAAGGCCGAACAAATGAGTTTGCCATACGGATGTGTTAGGGACAGCACCTTAGACTTACATAGCGCATACAGGCTTTGTTTGGTATAGGTCCCTTCCCCCGGATTTTTAACTGCAAAAATTGGCAAGTTCAAAAGGCCGATGTACTGAGTTTGCCATTCCAATACGTGAGGGACAGCCCCAAAGAAGTCCACAAAATTGTGTAGCGCAGGCATTTGGGGTAATGTTTGTCAGCATTTTGACAATGTGTTACTGCAATACTTGTACACGCTGAAAACAATATGGTCAACTTTGACTGGAAGCCACAAAGTACATGTAGTCAGCTGCATGCATGGGTGCAACCGGAGGAATAAAAACACATTCCTCCATGGTGCAACTTGGTTTTCTAGTCAAATCTAATTACTTTTTAGGTGTTTGTATTCATGTCGAAGTTCTAAGCTAATAGAACCTACCATGGGAAAGTTGGACAACTTATCCAACTTTCCGTGACGAAAGATTTGTGGAAAAGGAAGCGGATCCAAGGGCGGATCAAGAACACAATTTTGCTGGGGGGGGGGGGGGCAAAAAAAATTGGTCCCCCAAAAAGTGGGTCTAAAAAAATACGGAGAGGGGTTCGGTGCCCGCTTAAATAAGGCCCCGAAACAAATTTGGATTCTAGATGCTCTGTGGTGCGATCTGAGGCAATCTCTGACCACTTTAACCAAATTTGTTTGAGGAAAAGATGGTGGTGTACGCAGTGCCTGCTTTTATTGCGACGTCACTTTAAAAAAAAATTGGGTGTTTTTTTTTTTTTTGGGGGGGGGGGGCATGGCCCCCGTTGGCCCCCCGTCCCCCTGGATCCGCCTTGAGAGGATCTACCCCCATTTGACAGTGCCCTTACCCATGTGTGGTCAGCAGTGAGGACAGAAATCTTCAACAATTTTTTTTCTTCATTCAAATTTCCAACAATTTCATCACTATAACTGGCCATTTTTTTTAACACTCATACAGTTGGTGTATTAGTCTCTGGTCAAGTCGTTGTTCCTTTACAGATTCACAGTGCTGAGGTTGCATGAAAGTGAACTACTTAACAACCGAAGGTCAGTCTAGTGGGACTGCATTTTCTAGTTTCAACTTTTTTGTCGGCATTAATCTCTCTTTTTTTCCCCTTCGGAATTATGAATTCGGAGAGTTTTGGTTTTCAAGAATCAGTTTATTGTAAACGCTACTCCTGTTCAATCACACCCTCAGTTGTATTCAGAAAAAGCTTTTCTTTTGTTAATAATCTGTTTAACTGAAGAAACTTCTTAATCATCACAACCCCCACTGCGAAGGAGACTATGACAGCCTCGGTTTCGACGTCATCATCCCGTATACAATGATGCATCCACAGCATGCACAGCTAGCTTTGTGTAACCGATACATCGATTAATCGATACTATGGGTATCGCGTAGTGGCGACTCTCTTTTTCGAAGTACATACATGTATCAATGATGAATCATTAAGCTGATTTTCTTTGACGTCATTGGTACTTGAGTGTTGTTTGTCTCGGCGATGTTCTTTTTTCCATTCTCGAGAAGACGCCCCTTATCCAAAAAGCGAGACTGATATTTGTTCTTTGCGTTCTGTTGCAAGTTGGTGGTGGTTTTTGTTTTTTTCGTGGTGTTTTTTTGGGGGTTTGTTTTGTTTGTTTAGGGTTTGTTTAGTTCTTTTGTAATTTATTTGTTTTGATGTTTTTATGATCATGGCATAACGTTATTAATGTAAACACACAGCCTTCAAAAACAACATTTTTAGGGGAAGAGAGTTAGTTAATGTTTTGTGAGAAAACCAAACAAAAATTCCGAAATATTGAGATATTTTTTTGTTGCTAAGTTCAGAAAACTTTCGTTAATATTCACAGTTAATGACTCATTCTTTGATAATTAAAAAACACACAATTGCTTGATGAAATGGGAATTCGTGTATTAATTTCAATTCCTAAAACAAGTGTCAAAGTATGGGGTCTGTTTTAGAAATGTCATCGTGAACTTTTACATGTCATCCAGCCACTGGTATGGCACTTCCATTTTATTACGTCTACCAGCCAGGAGGAAATCAGTGACTTATTACCTACTGAATAAATAATGTCGATATAATGTGGTCACAACCCTCCAAATATTCCGTCATCCCCGTATGATCTCATTCTTCGCCTTTATTAATCGCAGATGGTTGTCATAGCAACCATGATATCATAGACTGGAGGTGGATGTTTTTACAGTGAATTATACCGCGCCACTTCAATTTCCACCACGTTTTTCTTTTCCATTTTTTCCCTTTCCTTGCGGTTTTGGCCGGCTGTCCCGCCCTGCGGAGCCCAGGAATGGCTTATCACATTGCGTGGAGAATTCCTTTCCGCGAAACTGAATCGATGCAATTTGGCAATGACGTCAAAGTGTAGGACCGAGCACGATGCGTGTGACGTTGATATAGCCTCTCATCATGTGTGGACCATTGGTGTGGTGTGTGAGGCAGAGTAGCGTGTTCAGCATCTCCAGCCTGCATCCCAGTCAAGTTTCTCTTTCCAATTTTTTTCGGTTCTATATTTTTTTTCATGCCACGGGCGAGTTAGCCGCTGCTCTGACGTGTATAATCCGATCGATCGGTAGACTTGTGGGAAACGCTGTGGCCTTGCTACGGTCCCACGAAGCGCGCGAAGCAGAAAAGACAGATCATCCAAGTTCCATCTTGCTAAATTATGGATAGTTTGGAAATTTTGGAGAAAAGTGTTATTTTCCTGGAGTGTCTGGTTAGAATGAGAAGAAGGAAGTACATGTGACCATCAGCATGAAACCAGTCGGAGGTCGCGCGGCCCATTCGGGTTAGGTAGTTTGAGAAACAGTCTATAATATCGTTCATGCAAAAATTATCGAAATTCAGATTTGAATAGTTGCGATTTAAATCGGCATTATTTGGATTTTAGAAAGAAGTTGGAATAATGAGTAGAATTCACTTACAATGAAATGGATTTGTACGTTTCCTGAGGTGTTTATGATCCTTTTCATTGAGCCCCAAATCCAGTTTTCAAAAATTGGTCCAAGTGAATGGTTTTGTGGTATGGTGGGTTGAAATTAGATTGATGTTGTCCCAAGTATGAAGCACATTGAATCCTTAACATGTACAGCTTGTATATGCACATTGTACATGTATTTCTGTCTTTAGGTTTGTTATCTTTTCTCCCACGATATTCCAATTTCCTTGATGATTTTTGGGTTAACTTTACTTTTCTTTTGCCTTTGTTCCTATAGTATCTGATTAACTGTTCGTTAATCCCAATCTTCAGAAATAATTTTGATGTCTGTAGGCTGTTATGATACCATTATGTTTCACAACAGTATCATATCAGTGTGATATTTAACCCAAAAAGGTCCTTTCAAATACCGGACGTGTTTCGAACAGCTAACAGAAACTGTTTGTGGTCGTTTCCATGACGACTTCAAATTTTCCAAAGATTATTGTATCAAGAAAAACCCGTATCAGATCATCAATTGCTTATTTATAACCATGGAGACGGATGTATATGAATGAATCCCCAAGTTGACCCTGATCTTGGGCAGATTTGAGGCGCTTGACGCAGTCTCTCGCTCTGGTAATCGGCGTCAAGATGAATGTCCAAGAAATGAACGGTTAAGGTTCTGAAGTTGGCCTCTTTTGCGCAGTCCCCATGGACTACTCGCCAAGTAAAAATACCGCTCAGGAATCAGCCGTTGGGGCTTGGGAACGTTGCTCAAGGGGAATAATAAGCTATAGAGAGGACAAGGTCACCCACTTCGGGGAAACTGACGGTGATGGCCAACCACAGAAATCAGCTACTAATAACATGAGGCATTTGGACATTCCAGAAGTAAATTAGCTCGCGGAGATTTGTGAGTAACGTCAGTGGGTGGACCGTGAAATGGAAACCGTTGTCGTCATATTAAAGGGGACCTTGTTTAGCGTTCCTTCCTCGTTGGCTAACTGGGACATTATGTGACTATCCATGTGTATTTCCCTGGGAAAAATGTTGCAACCTGACGCCACTTTTTTCTTCATATACCGTCTGAAGGAAGGTCAATCATTGCAAAAATGATGATAAGACATGAATCTGGGACAGAGAAACATTTCCAATTTTGTTAGGAAATACTGAGGAATGTGTTTGACTATCCATAGACTTTGTACACAACCGCTGAAGTGGCGTCAGGTTGCAACATTATTTCCTTTCCCTGATTTTCCTTAATTCATGCTTCAGATCGACGGCTTTCGATTTCAGAGGCTAAGTTCACTTCATTTCATCATGTTCACTGGAAAAAAATTCGAAATTCCTTTTGCTCTAATTTTTAAAATCTGAGAAGTGCTGATCAAAATTTACGTTAGTTTATTAAAATCACAAGCCGTTTTGGTTGGAATACATGAAGTAAGAACGTAGGCACTGTCTAGCCTTAAAACTGAGTTTATTTATTTATATATTTTGAGATAATAATCAATTGTCCCCAATACACGATTCATCAATACTAATCATTCATCATCTTAAACCAACTTTATTTATTTTATAAAAATGTGACCAATAAAACATCTCACATCATCGTTTCTCTTAAAAGTCACAGCAAATACGAACTCGATGAGGGTTCAGTTACCCCATTACAAAATAAATAAATAAACGGACAAGAACACACTTATATAACATGACGTGTCACTCCTCGTTTTAATCTTGTAGAACATGAACATCTTTTATTAATTATTTTTGGAACGAACTATATTGCACTTGTGAAGTCAACATTTCATTTAAAAAAAACAGCGATATCAATTACATACACCTTGCAAAATTTGTATATAACTTTGTACTATCCTCGTACGTTGTATAAATATAGTAACTGTACAGCATTATGTACATTATTTACATATTCATATAAGTCAGCAATAAATTTGCATTTTACAATGTAAAATTCCAGAAACATGTTTTTTTTCTCACCAAATGCAAAATTAGTTAATGGCGACCATTTCTCATTTCCAGAAAAACAATTCCTATTTGTTGGATACTTCTGACTTCCTTGTCTTGTGAGAAGGTTCAATGTCCTTTACTTCCGCAACTGTAAACATTTCTTGGAATCAACCTTGGGAAAATATATAGCAAACCACAGCGTGTGACACAACAGATCTTGCGGTAAAATATACTTGTAAATATACTGAAGAGTATTCGGTAAACATGTTTAAAAAATCACTTGTAATAGCAAGTCTAACTATTGTTTTTGACAAAGCAACCGGTATTAAGGTTGACTAGACAGAAACAATGTTAAGAAGTACATTTTCAACAATTTAAACGTTTAGACTGGATATCACAATTGTACAATTTCGTGTCTCGCGAGAATATGCGTGATTGACAGCCATAAAAGACAAGATCGGATGTGGCGCAGACTCAAACATGAAAGGGGATTCAAGAAAAATGTTCCACAAATATTTGTCACATGTCCAGCGAGCCACAACGACCGACCACGCATAGATTAAACAGAGATAGTCATGTCTCTAAATCAATCAAAAAATATATGCGGCTTTCCAGGTAAAAGAGATTGGGTAGGAAAACCGCCAAGGACGGCTTACGAGAACCTGCATGCCATGTCAGACACAATCGCGTCAGGTGTACATTATATTACCAGCGCTACTACCCTATAACTATAATGCATAACCAAGTCTATAGGCACGGCTGGCCGAGCAATTCACTCCGCTATGCATGCAGCGTGCCATTTTTCCAGGAACTCATTTCCATCAGCGCGCTTGTAATGGCTACGCTATAATAATACGCGGGCTGTCGCACACGAACCCGGCCGTACAGCCGTCAGAAACATATCAATTAATTATCGTTATCTGGCGGATTTACCGTATAATGTACCTGAGAAATAATTCCCTTTCTTGATTAAAGATAGCAATAACATTGCGGGATGTGACTTCCAACAAGCTGGGTTATTGTACCGTTTTACACAATTATAAATACTTGTTTAATTAAGCCAATTCATCTACTGTTCCAAATACATTTTGCTCACATGGGTTCCTATTTGTTTCTGTTTGTTTCAATGACAATCTGAATAGTCATTGTAATACATGTACAAGTCATGAAATAACTTCCGGCATTTTACCCAAGATAAATAAAGGTAGAAAATTTCGTATCAGACTTTCCTTAAAACGGTCCTTAAAAACATATCCTTAAGCGGACATAACTTGCAGGAAATACATCGGATCGCCATGGTTTTGTCTGATCAGGGAACACCAATCAAGCGGTCCAAGGTTGTACAAAGAACTTTTTTTGATACAATGCCAAACTTTTTTTAGTGTTTTTTTCTCGATTAAGTAATTCTTTCATTTTTTTTGGTTAAGATAATGCCGGGCTGTATGCAATGTACATGTACTACGAATATAAATAAAGGTCCATGAAAATTGTACTCTTCTCAAAAACATGGTTCGCTTATGTACTTTCCGGTTTTTAGATAAAAAAGCCACTAATGACATACATGTATTGCAATAGTCTTGATGTCCTCGTGATATTCAAAGTTAAATGGAAAAGTGTACCTCCATGGTGTAACTCAATCAGAGAATCTCAACTTCAATTATCAAAATAAGAACTTTGTAAGATTTTTTATCATCATGGCCGAAATGAAAATTGCGAAACTTCTGAGACGGGTCGAAACGTGTCCCCTCAACCATTGTGATAAGAAAAACCGCAAAGGAATTGTCCTTTCTTCAAGGAAACGGTCACTCACATACTTCAAAGGAGCCTACAGGAAGTCTTCTCATTGTTTGCGGTGACCCCCCGACTGCCAACAAAATTGCACCAACGTCCATTATTGTCCACTCTGGACTGTGGCCATTTTGTCCCTGCCCTCTTAAGATCCCTCTTGTTGCCTTTGTGAGAAAGCGGAACACGTCACCCCACAACAAAGGAACAAGAGTAGAAACGTTGCGTAACACATTGATAACACCCCGCGAAATGCACAAAGTGTACCGTTGTGTTTTTCCTGGTAACAGAAAATCGGGGCCAAATTATCTCTTGTTCGTGGGAAGGATTGGAGGTTAATGTGGACGTGTTCCATTTGCTTCCTACCAATACAATGGATCATTAATTGATTCACAACAAATTAGGTAGAGTTTTTCTCTGAATCACAAATTGAATGATTGTACCATTCTTGTGAAGAAAAAATACATTACCAGGGAAATACACAAAGGCCCAAAATCAAATACATGTACGTCAGTTCTTAACATTTCGTTACATCCGTATTACTCCATATCCTGTGCAACAACTATTGTCATTAACTTTTGAATTATAATCAAATCTATCTACTGTATCACCAACACGGATATCCATTTGTCGGATTCGCTAAAGGGTTCCAGGAAAATCGCTCGAGCTTAAAATTACATGTCATTGTGCTTTCAATGGGAATTTTGTATCAGTTCTAAAATAGAAGCAACCTCTGGACTTTGGTCCTTTTCCAGTGATTTTTGTTATCACTGCTTCTACGCAAAATTTAGTTCAAGTTTTCACACTCGAAGTTACAATCACATCCTGGTGTTCTAAAACTTTGAAAGTAAAGGTCTCTGTCCAGACCTTGACCGTGGTCTGCAAGTGACAATAAAAACATTACGAGTGTTGGACAATAATTCACACATCACAGTGATAAAAATATTCTGGAAATTATTCAGTAATACTACTACATGTACATGTAACATGAATTGATTAAGCGACCGAGCGACCAGTCCAAGTTTAATTCCAGTTTTCATTTTCAAAGAATGAACAGTGGAATGTTGATCTGAAACAGACTACCAAAACTGACAAAACAGCAGGTTGTGAAATGCATTAGAATTTACTTGTGGTACAACTTTCGAAAGGCGCCTGTTGCAACTTGGTAACCTTCCATTCAATCAATTATTTTCTGTGACCGTTCTCGTTTCTCGGAATGAGAAATATTTGTATGTATGAATAATATTACATTGGCTGTTTTACAAAAAAATACAGTTTGGAAAAGTTTTTTTTTATTGGCACACCGATTAACGTCAAGCATGAGAGACGTACGGGCGTATCGGTTTGACGATTAAAAGAAAACCTTTTCCATTACATTTCTTTTGTTTTAGAGTTACATTTTGATATCCAAAGATAATTATGAAATATAAGGCACGTTGGATTGACCCTTTGTGCTGCGCATGTGGTCTGGAACACACACCTTGTTCAACTACGGGTAAACAGGATGTTGGACGCGGTTTTCCCCTCGCTTCAAAGTAGACCGGCCTTCTAGTCACCTCATCAGGCTGCGGTCGAACGGCAGGTCGGGACATCCTCGATGTGATGGGGTCATAGCCGGGCGACGAAGGGGGGCAAGTCAAGGCCGCAGGGGTGGTGGCAAATGGGAAACAGGTCATGAACTCAACTTGAATGTGACTTGGTGGACTTTCAGCAGGTGGTCTTAAAAACCGTGTTTTCATAGTCACAGACTGCTATTCCCAACATAGACGCCGAATCAGCTACTCATCTACCTTGGCACGTATAGCGCTCGGGAACTTTGTTCAGTCTTAAAGTTCTTCCAAGAACGTTCATTGATGAAGAAATCTCGCCCAAGTTCGTTCGTGGTTCAGTTTCCCTTCATCATTGATCAAATGGGTACTGCTTCAAATAGCCTTTTAGTTTGCCAGGCAAGGGCAGGTCCGCTTGGTGTCTGGGTTCCACGTAACGGTTCAGAGACACCCGACATAGATGCTCTAAACTGGGCACTTGAGACCGTAGAGGCTTGATGATTTGAGCTGCGATGTCTCTACGACCGGACGGCTCTAACCAGACAAACTGACCGGCGTTGTTGTTCCTGTTATTACCGCTCTCGATGCTCCTCTTCTGTTCCTCTTTGTCTCTGTTTTTCTTCCCCGCGGAATTCATCTTGGGCATGTAGTGGTGTAAAAGTTTGACCACGCAATCGAAACTTGGCGCGAGTCGTCGAAGCGCCTCCTCCGAGTCCAGCGTGAATTTACCGTACGCATACTCGATCCGTACACTGGTGGTACCCCTCGGTGTCTTGACGCTCAGTGAGTACAGGTAATTCGGGTCGGAACTGTCTCTGACCAAGAAAGTACCGATGTCGCAGTGTCTGAGTTTCCGCTTGGCCTCAGCAAAGTTCATAGCACCATGGTACCAGCCAGACGTCTGTAAGGTACCGACGGCCGAGCTAAGGCGCTCCAGATCGTCCTCAGTACTCCTTTGGTTCGTGCCACTATGTGTGGACACCAGAGAGTTCTGGTGATGATGGTGAGACATGGTACCGGGCGGCATCAGGCCCTGTACGGCACAAACTCGCTCTTCACACAGTACTCTATCGACACCGATTGGCGACTGCAGCACTCCCCCGCACATCAACGCCAAGAAATAATCCCGAATAAAATCTCAGCAATTTCTCCTCTCTCCGACTTGCTTCGTTGACGGTAACAAACGGTATGAGCCTCCCGCCGCAGTGCTTTTACTGCGTAGACTGAAGAGGCCTTGTTACGTGTGCGCTGAGCTATTACTGCGCCCGGACCGCAAGCCGCGATTTCCAGGAATCGGAAGGTCTTAGAATTTCCTCCTCGGATAATGAGCTCAGTGACGACGCGTTGAGCACCACAGCACGCACTACACAGAGCAGCTGCAATTCATACACATCAATCGCAGACGACGATGTGGATATCACACGAATACTCCCGGTGTTCTGACGTTAACTCAACTGCTTACTCTGTCGAATTTCATGAGTATATATATCCATTCCAACTTCCCACACCGGACTGCGTTCCTCGAAATCCGAGTGAGCAATATTCCACTTCCTTTTTTCGTTTACCGTAGTACTAGTTTTACTCGACCTTGTAGTGAACTAACCTTTGTCCCATCCACTGCAGTCTAAACGCATACACCATTCATATTTTTCCCCAAGCACGGCCCCAATTACTCATTATCATAACCATGCTATAATTACATTAGCAACCGCACAGTTATCCCCGCCCACGGGTTCGTTTCCAGACCAATCAATTTATCAAGATAGGGTTCCTATAAACATAAAAGAACTAAAAATCAAATTACTAACGCTAAAACCTCAAACTTTCAATTTTGATATAATTTGACAACTTAAGTACATTAAAATGAGAAATCTGTGTTTTTGTTTTGTAAAATAAAGTGTTAGTTTGCCATTTATTGTAGTGATAATTCTTAAGTTCCCCCATGGACTGCCAAAATGGACTGATCCACGCAGTCACCGTTTACACAGAAAACGGACGAGCGCTGTTGCATTGTCCGTTCAGCGGTTCGGCACTGCACTGGTGAATCCGCGATTCGTCGAAAGGCCGCAGGCAAGGCAAGGCTACGCTTTGCTTAGACTTGCCTCAGTCGGCCAGTCTTCTGGTTTCTCATGGCTCGCCGTCACATTGCTATAGCTTTATATTAGCTTCATATCAGTGATAGCCTGCATAACGACTGAGATCACGTTTAACAGGCCTGTATGCTTGTTACTCATAGCATTCACGGCTTACTGTTTAGCAAGGGAGGTGCAACTCCATAATGGTATCGGTGATAAACGGTTTTCAGCGAACGCCCTGCCCGAATGATTTCGTTCCCAGGAAGATAAAAAAATAGCAATGAAAATGTTGTAAAAAGAACAATCGTTAAGGAAACTAAAATCCCGGCTCCGGCATACATGAAAATAGTCACCTGTTTTCTTACTAAACAGGCGCAGACTAGCGAGAATACTGCCCACGCACTAGCCATGGGTTTCGAAATGCAGGGATTTACCAGCATAGCTTCCGAGTAAAAAATTCCAACTTTTTTTTTTCATGGTTCTTTGGGGGAGATACGTCTGATCATACATGATCCTACGGTCGATACATTTAATTCCTGTGTTGTATTTCGTTAGTGTTTATAATTATGTGTATCTTAGTGTTTAAATTTGTTCTTATTTTTGTATTCACACCCCTATATTTTACATGTTTGCATTTTGTTTCTTCATTTTAGTTTTTACTTAATGTTCTTAGTGAGTTTACATAATGTTTTTCTTTTTATTTCATTTTATTCTTTTCATTTTATACAGGGCCCTCAGTAATAGCAGTTTTTAACTGATGAGGCTACCCTGTCTAAATAAAACTATAAATAAATAAATAAATAAATAAATAGATCCTACGGCTGATACATGATCCTACTTTAATAGCAACTTTCTTTTTAAGATTTGCCACTTCTTACTGATTTTTTGTCTTGGAGAAATGCAGTATGATAAATAGTTCATAATTTTGTGTTTTATTGGTCGCCTTTCTTTAGTACATGAAATCTGCCCACACGTAGCGTGTCAGACAGTCGACTCCTAAATAAACCACACATTTTTTTTCAGACAGGGTGGACCGTGGGTGGACCCCTAACCAATCATTGGGGGTTGGGGTGGCTTGGACATCATTTGACGTTAAGTGGCGCTCTTTCGTTCCCTTTTTCTTAAGGAAAGGGGAAAGTTGGCTTACTGTAGCAAATGACACTCAACATACACGATGGTATCATTTTGAAGAAAAGAAGACTGAGCCCAACAGACACATGGTCGTACCCGACTTATACATCGTTTTGAAACTTCAATTTTTAAATACATTTTTGGAACTTTCTGCTTTTACTTTCACCTAAGATGAATTGCTTCGTTCGAATCTCCAATTTGTTTTAGTGTTGAGTTCTTTCTGTAAACCTAATCCGTTCTTTCGATTAAGCGCATCGTCTTTAGTTCCGCGGGCTCTGAATTGGCACACCGGGTCAATCTCCCTCGGTAAGAAAAAAAAACAAAATGCTAAGCGCAATTTTCCTTAAATCGTCTACAAACTTAATCAAAGTATTGCAAATGGAAAACTTTTGATGTAATTCTTGAATGAAAAACAAGGAGAGGGTGTGATGCCCCCAAAACACACCCAACTCACTTCGTAACGTAAACCTCAAAATAATCACATTTCTCTTTTATAGTAAACGATTTATTCTGAGATTTTGTTTCAATAAAACAAAGTTTTCGAAACATTTTCTCTTAAAAGTCAGTTTCGTTTTATAATTTTTCAGAATCCTCCCGAAAAATCCCACCAACTTTCGGTTTTCCGGATAATTCAAACTTTCCACAACTTGTTGCGTCGGTTAGCGTTTTTGTACTCTTGCTCTATGGTTAAAATTTACATTTTTCTCCGAAGGTTACTCCTGACAAGCTAAATGCTTGCATTTTTTTTCTTGTGAAAACCGCAAAAACTCGGCTATCTCTTAGAAAGGTCTGGGTTGTTTTTGGCAACACATCAACAACACCGTGGGCATACATGCTTCATTGCGTAAAGAAGATTTATGAAACTCCGCGTTCGTTACTGCTGGGGTTTGTCTCTGCTTCGAGATGCATAAGGATCCTGCCAAGTTCAACCAAATGTAAAAATACCTACCATTGTGTGTCTCTTTAATAAAAAATGTACCATTTTGTACTGGAGGCTACGTCAGGGGAGTAAAATCATAAATCTGGAATCCAGACCCTGAAGCCGAAGCCATAGACGAAATCGACATTTTGTAAAACTTATTAGTAACAAAGCGAAGTATGTAGGTATATCTCGACATAGACTTGTGCACACAATTTTTTCCAACTTTCGGGAATGGGTCATTAGGGAGACTTTCCCATAGATTTGTGCACAAAAAAATTCCAACTTAAATGTGCCTTAACCCAATATTTCCTTTTTCTTTTTCCACAAATTTCGGTATTTTTACTAATAGACAACGAGCAATATAACCTAATTGCGGGTAAAATTGTGCCAACAAAGGGGGGCTGTGCCATTAGGGAGACAGTTATGTATCTCACCCTAATGGTACATTAATTTTAGTAATATACATGCGTTCTGTATAACTCATAACGATGCCCGTATTCTTGGAAAATATGGCCAAAACAGGGAGGAGTTTCATCCACTATTCCAAGAATATGGTTTTGAATGCTAAATTTTCAACAAAGGGCCTAAAAATATAGAACATTAATGAGTTCATGATCCATTGTGGTTATTCGTTTCTACCTAATAGGGGCTATTTCGATACAATCATGTGGTTTCTATGTTAGAATTTTGTCAAAATATATTTAATTTAAATGGACTGACTCGCGACACTACGTTTTAAATGCTTCGCAAATTGTAATTAACACGTGATTTGAACTTTATGCGTAATGCCGCTTTCTTATTTTTGGAAAAAAAGTACCCATTCGATAAAAATTAATTACCTTGTTTGAATGATGAAGTGATTTGTAATGAACCGTTACAGTGAGACTTATAAATGACCGTCTCGTCATTCAGTATTTGGCTATACTCTCGTCTCGGTATTTGAATGCATTTACTGCCCCGTCAAGCAAGAAATAAACCAATTTTTAAGGTTCATTTATAGATTCGGGACTACGGGGGATTCAGGGGTTAACCACCCTTGGGCCGCCCCCAGAAAGGCAGTCCAAACTCCTTCACATATTCAATAAATTCTCAAAAATATGCCCAGAACATAAATGCCGAATATTATAAAGCAACTAGACATCAAATTTTCCCGGCCGGAGAGGGGGCTTGCATGTTACATCTAACATCTGGGATTTTATATTTCTGATGCAATAGCAGTCGTCCTCCAAGAGTGATTGTGAATTGCAAAGTGCCTACCCAACAAATAATTTCAAAGTGACTTTAATATTATTTGAAATCACTAATTATTAACGCAACTTGAATGGCAAACAAGGCAACAGGGCCAGGAAAATGTATTACTTTGGTTCCTAAATTTGTAGCAAAGAGCCCATGATGTTAAACCCTATATACCTGCTTCCACCCCCCCCCCACCCCCACCACCACCACTCCCCGATTTGTGAAATTGTGATAACGGCCTCCATCCTGCCAAAATCTCCGCACACAGGATGCGGTACATACAGAGCCATCTCAGTACGGAAATCTCGCAAATGTACGCTAAATCCCATCTCCGCATCATCCTCAAGTGGGCGAGATTTCGCCGTCCTTCCCTGTTCTTCATGACTCATCTTCAATCATGAGTTATTCCAAGAGCTTCAATCTCCAAGTAACCACGAAGTTATAACCTTGTAGAACAAGTCACGATCCTTGTAAATTGCTGGTTAAAAGGTCGGTGATTCATCATCAAGGCTAGGCAATTGTGTCGCTTTTCTCCGAAACAATTCAGCTGATTAAATTTCATTACAATTCATGATCATGTTCGATAAGTGGTAGGCTTAATGAAAATCTTTATTACAACGGTTGGGTGTCGTTCCCGTTCCAAGTCTTCCGAAGGGAGAGGTTTTTTCTGCTGTCTTGATAAGTCAATGATCACGCATCTATTAATTGGATCGTTATATGAATTTAGGGTCCAATGTGTGACATTCTTCCTGTCCGTTAATTATTTCAAATGATTTGTTTATTTGTTGGGTATAGGTAGTTTGTTATTCAAAATCACTCTTGGTGGATGACTGCATTAAGCAGTGCTTAAGAATTATAGAATCATAGATGTCAGCCGTAACAGGGACACGGAAAATAAGTGGACCCCAAATTTATAGAATGGTCCAATTGTGGTCGCATATAGCTGTCGGGCTTCCCCTTCTGGCGCCTTGTTCCTTACTAGAGAATTTCAGTTATGAGCATGGGCGTCGCAGGGGGGGGGGGGCAAGGGGGCGCCCCCCCCCCCTCCGGAAAACGAAAAAAAAGAGGAATATGCGAAGCCATATTGCTGTTAACGGTAGGACAAATGCTCCCCTGCTCACGCTCGGAAAAATGATAAATTGAGAATATAATGAAAAAGTTCAGGAATTTTTGGGGACAATTTGCTTCCCCCCCCCCCGAAAAAAAAATCCTGGCGTCACCCACGGTTATGAGCCACAGGAGGGGTAAAATCGTTCGCATTTAAATGATTTGGT